TAATATTGTTGTTAGTTTTAAGTACCTACTACATCGTAAAACTGTCTCCTGGCCTCCACGACACAGGCTTGCCTAGTGTGGAGTCCAACGTTATTATGTGAAAATATGTAATGATATTTTGGTAATAAACGATTTTATTATTTATTTTTTTATTACAAGCAAAAACGACCATGAAAATAAAGAAACTAAAAACATAGTTAGGCAATATCATAGGGGAAAAGTTAAATGTAGTGCGGTGCAAATAGGTGAATTAGAAAGTATACCTACCTAGCAAACGATTACCTTTGGAGACAGTAATATAACACTTTAGTACCAAATTAGTACAGCTTTTACTCACAATCAACGAGGCATATCCCATTTTCCTCCCTTTAAAAATAGGTACCTTAAAGTTACATAATGGTTTTCTTCCCATTTCTGAGATTAAACAAAAGCTCTGTAAGGTGGACGTTGCTGTCCCGTCCACAGATAAATAGGTAAATAGAGGTCGCAATTTAAATTTTAAAGAATAAAGATCATTAAGCTATTCTGATATAAAGACAGCACCTCAAGCTAAGTACTGTGGAATTTTATGTACCTACTTTTTACCCCATTAGGAGCTGAATTCTACAAAATCCCGTCTTAGTGAGCACCTACGTTCTAAAAGTAACCCCCATGCAAAATTTGAGACTCCTAGCCCTTGTAGTTTCTGAGATTTCGTGAGTCAGTTAGTCCATCAGTGACTTTCGTTTTTATAGATTTGTAATAGGAGCTAGTTTGCAACAAAAACGTGTGACTTGATATGCTGTCGCAGCTATAACGTTACGAAATGTCATCAAAATCTCTCAGGTTATTGCGTGAAACAAACATAATCCCACCCTCACATTATTCCGCGTTTGTAAAGTTCTTTATGTGAAAAACGTTTCTTCACAATAGTAATTTATTTAGCAATAAATATTAAAGTAAAAGTATGTAAATCCAATAGTAAATGGGACGAGATCTTTCTCAATTTCTGAAGCGCACTACGCTACGACCAAGAAGGGCATGAAAAAGCTGTCTTGTCCCGCCAAATCGTAATATTATACCGCGTCTATTGAACTAAATTGTCTGCGCTCGCTCAAATTGATTCAACTACACCCAGAGCGTTCCTCTTTCAACCCTAAAAAACCCTTTTCTCTTTGTGCCCAAAGATGTTTGATTCGTTATTCTGTTTAGTAGAAAGACGGCGAGTGCTTTGGACTTTTTTGCGAGTTCCCAGATAATTGTGTCAGTGTACTTCCAACCCTTTTGTGAGTGTACTTTTGTGTGTTTAAAAGATACAATCGGCAGTAAAATGTTGAAGTTAAATAAGGACTGTAAAACGTGAATGGCCTTAAGTTTTAGATGGTCGAATTCTATGGTCCTGGATAGGATTTTCACTCAGCCAAATTAAAATTAAATATAGGCTTAGGTACATTTTGGTGAAACAGTCACAAAAGCTGATTTATTTTGTGTGTATAGAGACTTTTGTACATTCCAGAGATTTTTCTCCATTATCCTAATCATTGGTCTTGTCCCAGTTATTTACTTTTCAACAAACAACCACATATTCCTTTGAATCTAACAGAAAATGTGTGATGTTCCTCAACAATGTTTTATTGTTTAAGTCAAACCCGTGTATTCCGTGAACCAAGAAAAGGTTAAGCTAATAGAATAGGAATGTCAACATTGAAAGGTCTAAGTCTGCTTCTTTAGCATTGGAAGTGGTTTTGTCTGGAAGAATACACGGTGATGCTGTACCGTCCACAATGCCGACTGTATAGATAAGTCCCTAAGCTTTTATTGTTGTTCGTAATTGAGAGGTCCGAGTAGTGATGTAAGTACAGCTTTTCGGTACTTTAAGTATCCTAGTTAATTAACTACAATGTTACTTTACTTTACGTAAGTAGTACCGATCCACTTAGTTAACTATACTTTCACTTATTATTATAATTACTCGAGTTTTTTTACAAAAATGAGATTCATGCGACCATTCTTTGGGTAGAAACGGGTGTGACGACGTAGACAGCTTTCATTTAATCAAATAAAGTAGACGTTCTTATTTTTTCGTGAACTTAATCAACATTTTTCACCCGTAGTCAGAATCTTGACCAATATGACCCTGCTAGTAAAGGCTTTTTAGTCGGTATTTACGGTTCGGCAAAGGCAAAACAAAAGGATCTTTCTAATACAGACTTGACAATAAACAAAGTTATGAATAAAACGATTGAAAAACATTTGGCGAGTGAAATTGTAAATTCAAAGTTTTAATTCACTCGTTTACATCCCTAAGGATGTCCGAGTCGGCTTTTAAATGGGACTCAGCTGGGCTCTCCGTCGGGGATGGCATTTTCCCGCTCTAATGCGTCACATTTCTCAATTGTTTCGTTAAGTATTTAACATTTTATTGCGAGCGTACTCGAGTGACCGTTGCGATTGTCATTTTCTTTTTTTAATGAATGAATATAAATAAGGTTTTTTTGTGAGTTTATTGAGGACTGAGTAAAGAGATCTGAGAACTGATAAAGGGACGGAAATTGCTAGTCTGTGCTCTTGAGTCCGATATCACTTCTTAATAGGGTTCATGTTAAACAAAACCTTGACATTTTAAGTCCCTTCTTCTTATTGTGATATGGAAGTTACATAATCTATCCTGCTACTCAGTTAAGCAATTTCGTGCTATTATTTACAGAGTAACTAGGTACCTACATATTAAAATCTGAAAATAATATTCTTCCTTCCTATTAGTCACCTTTATGAGATTTTTAAGAAAAATATTCAACAGACGAATTTCATTACCGTAGAATATTTCGTCGCCCACTTCAATGTTAGAGTAATTTGTGCGTGTAAAAGTAATAAGCCGGGATGAAGGTATTTTCCCCAAGATTCCTATTATGTTCTACATTTTACGGGCTACACTACAATCAAAGCGACATCGGCAGACCTGATCCCACCATAAAAAAGTCATAAAACTCATTTTATTTTTACAAGTAGATAAGCTTTTAAAAAGCACTTTTACACGTCCCAGTACCACTACTTCGGGACAACAAATGGGCCAGTACTGAGAAAAAGCAGCGCAAGAAACTCCAATTATACATCAAGTGGTAAAATGAGACTTGCGTCCTAAGTCGTGGTTATTTATTTATGTCCGTTATTATCACTAACTCATTATGTTTTAATCAAGAGAAGGCGAGAGTGAATACGCACTTACAGGGCAGATAATATGTACCATCCTAGACTGCATCCCACATAACATCAGGTGCGATTGTGGTCAAATACCTGCCTTGTTATGCATAAAAAAAAGAGAGCTCCAATGCTCTTTGCTTTACACTCTGATATGTGCGTTCTGTGAGAGCATAAAGGCAATTAGTTAATAGGAGAAGCTATATTCGAAACGTATACAAGTGCTATGAAAAGCGCATACCTACCTACTAATAAAGATTTTAATTTTGACTATTAAGTCGCTTAATATGAGGTGCGGTTGCGGTCAGATACCTGCCTTGTTCTTTATAATGAAAATAAATACTTAATAGGTACAGAAAATATTAAGTATTATCACATCCACTCTTTTAACGGACCTACTGCGTCGTATTTTTCTTGCGGACGGTACTACAAAAGTGAATTAGGTGTGATGATAATTTTAGATCATGGCAGCGTGTACATATTTTGATGACCCTACAGTTTCGTCTTGGGTGCTTGGATCTTGTAAAACATTTTTACCGAAAATGTCAAACATGCTGCTTGTTCTTAAAAATGTCTTAATATTTGAATTTCATTTTAGGTAAAAGTTTTGTGTTATGGCAATAAGTATTTTAGTTCATATTTGAATATTTTTGTAAAATGATCGGGTATATCAAGGAGATTGAGCCATTTCAGACCCATAACAGGACATAAAGTCTGACCATTTATAAGTTGCCTGTGGTCATGTTCTAGTAAGTAGTAAGTAATTTAGTTTTTTGGTGGTACAAACTATACCCAAACCTTAGTACTCATAGAGCTATTAGTAGGACCACTGCAAATTATTTTTCGTGGTTCTACCAGGTAAAACAAAACAGTTGGACCATGGGTAAAGCATGATTCTGACAACAGCATTACAAGTAGGTACAACCTACACACAATACAGGGTGTTAGGTAAATGGGTTTGTGTCGGCTTATAAACCCATTTACCTAACAGCCTGTATAAGATAAAGTTTACTTGAAACCTACCCCGTATTTTTGTTCTAAATAAATTTGAAGAAGACCTAATTATAAATATCCGAGGAAATTACCTTCTCCACTAAGGCAGCATAAACTTGTTATGTGAAACAGGCGGCGCTAATGCGATCATGTGTTTATTAACTAAGCCACTTACGGTGTTTCACCTTAAAAGCAAGCATTACTTAAGAAAATTGAGCACCGACATTTTTAGAGAGCGGGCGAAGTTTAATGTCATTATTTTAGCCAGGTTACCTTCCTGGCAGGTTTAAACAGCTTAGACCTTGAGGAAACATAACATAAGCCAAAAATGTATTATCCTGAAACCTGCAGGGGATATACTGTGTGATGAGTACGGGCTTTACTTAAACCTAGAGCCATGGATGCTAAAAAAGTGTTTATCTTTAGACTCTTTCGAATTTCTATGGGTAGAAATTGACAATTTTTCAAACAAAGCCCAATGACACCAGCCAGCCTGTCTATGTGCATTGACTTATGAGTAAACTCATTTAAAAAAAACATCGATGAGAATACCAATGAGAATCAATTCAATCTCTGCTAAGATCAATGTTAACCGTACTTAATTTACAAATTGCCTAAGTCTATTGACAGGATAGCACTAGGTGGACGGACGATCGAGTAAAGGTCGTGGGAGGTGCCTAGATACGAGCGGCGCAGGACCGGTCTTTGTGGAAATCCTTGGGGGAGGCCTTTGTCCAGCAGTGGACGTCTTTCGGCTGAAATGAACGAACGATGCATAAATAAATGTGATGTTTGGTCCAATTGATTCTTATTAACTTCTTTGTCCACAGCCAGCGACCTCGAGTCGATCAGAGCGCTGTTCAATGAGAAGGAGAAAGAACTATCCGTGGCGGTGGCCAAGGTGGAGGAGCTGACGAGGCAGCTGGAAGAGCTGAGAAGAGGGAGGGTGCAGCCGGCGCCACCTTCAGCTCATGAGCTGGACAAGCTGAGGCGGGAGCTTATGGTGAGTGGACCCAAGAATATTTCCCACAAGCACTAACGGGTCATCCATAAAGTACGTCACATGTAAAGAGGGGGGGAGGGGGTTGACAAAGTGTGACATGGTGTGACAAGGGGTGGGAGGGGCCCTAAGTTTCGTGACATCACATTTCAATTGTTTCAAATATTTGATATAATGTTTATTTCATAAAAAAAGTACTTAATTTAAATGGAAATAAAACTAATTTCGGAACTGCTGTTAATTTAATAATTTAACGATGTGAAATTGCNGGGAGGGGCCCTAAGTTTCGTGACATCACATTTCAATTGTTTCAAATATTTGATATAATGTTTATTTCATAAAAAAAGTACTTAATTTAAATGGAAATAAAACTAATTTCGGAACTGCTGTTAATTTAATAATTTAACGATGTGAAATTGCAACACATGTGACGTCACACTAGGGAGGGGGGGGGGTCTCATAAATGTGACCACCTGTGACAAGAACGGAGGGGGGGTCAAAAAATCATTAAATTCGTGTGACGTACTTTATGGATGGCCCCTAAGACCCCCTCACACAAAGCTTTAACCACACCAACGCGTGCAGATCGCGATCACCGACGCGATCACGGCCCAACATATGCCAATGACAGGCAGCACGACCAGTCATTGGCCTATGATGGCACCACGATGGCGATCAGCATGCGTTGGTGTGGTCGAAGCTTTACTTAAGGACACGCGTATGCACTCACACATTCGACTCCCAAACTTTTTTTTTCCAAGCTGCGGCAGTAAAGAGTTCAGTTCAAACTTATATACACACGAACTTCGCTTCATATTGACCAGTTTATCACTGCTTACTTCGTTTCATTACAAAAAATTCACAGAAGATGAAAAGATAAATCCTTATTAAAGAATACGAAGTGACGTCTTTAGTCACATCCATACGACGTTGGACCCAGCGGGTGCTTATTCAATAGGAAAGGATTAACCTATTATTCAACAGACTATTTAACTAAGCCTATGATCAAGAACAGTAATTTTTACAAACACCAAAAACTTCGCCTTTTAAAAATTCCTTTAATTGATATCCAGAAATCAAACCACAACTTTTCTTCCTTACAAACTTTAACGAAAGCAACGGCTGTGAAAAAGTAAGAGCAATATTAAAATATCTCGTCTTAAATTCCAAGGCGAAACTATTTTACAAATGACATCTTCCTTAAAGTTCCGTGAAACTTTCGTTTGAGTAGGAGCTTTCGTCTGGAAGCGCATTTATCCACTTGTGAGTTTAACAGATGCAAAATGGCAGCGTTTATAAATATGCGACTATTAAAGTTGAAGGAACATCTGGGGTTATTTAAGAACTACATACGTTCTACGTTCTAGTTAGAACTTTCTTTTAGCTTTCTGTTCCGACAACAATAATTTCAGTCAGCTAAAGATTATTTTCAAGCAAGTTTCCCCCTATTTATTTATTTATTTATAATCTGCTTGAAGGCTCACAGAAAGACAAGCGCCAACAAGATAAACGAGACTAGAGTTAGGTCTATTACGAGATGCCACAATTTACGTTAAGTGCTGTCATCTGTTACATTACTGACTTAAACCTCATTCATCATCATTTCAGCCATAGGACATCCACTACTGAACATATGCCTCCTCCAATGTTTTCCTTATTGACCGGTTGGAAGTGGCTACCTGCACTGCATCCATGATAACTGAACTTTTCGGTCAAGAATATAGCTAGACCAAACGAACGTTAGTAAAATTAAGATAATCCGTTTTCTCGTCATATTAGTCCTTGGTCCGTTCCTAGAATAAAAGTATAAGGCAAGGTTGGTAAATAGCTGTAATAAAAGTAAAAGGCAAAGTTGGTAAATAGCTAGACTTCTAAATTGGACTAAGCTTAGTAAGTGATACAAATACATAATTAACCGGACGCTCTACCCGCAAATCAACTAGAGTTGTGCCTACGTCAGCTGACATACCCTTGTCAAAGAAAGAAGAAGCTCAAAGAATAAATTATGGGTAAAAGTCCACCTGTTTGTCTGAAGCTTTAACATAGTTTCAGGTTAGTTATTTAACATAAAAAAATTCAGCAGTAGTTTTTTTTATACAACTGACAGACTTGGGTATGTTTACTCTCTCCTCTATGATTAGAGGGCAAATGTCACGTATGTCGGCTACCTTAAACTTTTGACCGGAAGTGAAAGCTTTTGTCTAACTTCCGGCCAATTTTACGTGCGATAATCTCGTGATCCTCGCTTAGCACTATTTTCTCGAACGTTATTACGACGTAGCAAATTGTAGAGCGAGCTCACGAAGCATAAATATTCAAAAATGAAGACTTTTCTGTATTCGTTGAGAACATTTATTGTATTAAACCAAGAATAAGGAAAATTCTGTTCAAAGGTAATTGACTATTTTAGGTAGGTTAGATTTATGTTTTCATATCACAAATCTTGCAATCAATGGACGTTTTTCATTTTTGAAGATCGATGTGTAGACGATTGTGGCTATAATAATTTAATGGAATGGTAATTTCATGTAATTTTGAGACATTAAACTGTTTATTGTCATGCGACCACAAACATCACCTATAAATATTTTTGTTTGCATCACACACACTACCACCTGTGTTGACACGACTCACACAACCAAACACATAGTGTGCCGCGGCCAAGTAGGTTGCAGACATTCAGACCGCGTTTCTTAGACTTGATCGATCGGGTGGGTATTCTGAAAGCACTAGAATAAAATGTAAATAAATTATACATTATGCCAATAACTCAGTCTGATCCTCTAAGGGGGAATCCTTACTCCCCAACCCGTCTATCCAGTGTGGGGAGTGTAGGTCAAATCCTCCATTTGCCTCTGGTAAATTAGAGAGGGTCATGCTCTTGCAGTGGATATTAAATGTCCTGCTGATGATTCAGGACTATCCTTGTGACTTTATACAACAACTTGGTGTATGTGACCACTTATAATTAATTCCTTTGTAAAGAAATATCGTTGTGGAAATCCCTGAAGGAGGCCTCTATACCAGTAGACGTTATTTGGCTGAACGAACAAAATGTAGAAATAATGGTTTCTCGCCTCTGTTTCCGGTAGGTACATTAGATTTAATTAAATTAACTCCTCTGTGCTGTTAGTAACCACCGCATCACGCTAAATGTGTGTGAATTCTGCGTGTTCAATAGGGACTAAATAAAACAGGATGTCGCTTTATTTCCAATCGCCTACACATCAGATTACAAATTTTTGTTGCCGAATATCATATTACCATTACATATTATTAGGATACCGCGGTTTTTTGCCGTCTACTTACTTATGTACCATGTCAGTTGTATTATTAGGTTTGTTTCACCACATTGATGTATTATTTCCTGAAGGAAGCTGTCATGATTTATCACCCGCTATCGATGGATTTGAGAATAATCCCCCGTTCAAAATACATAAATGGAGCGGGCTCACGCTGCGAACTGACAATATTACGGATCTCTTTTCTATTCTATTGGCATTCTCGGAATATCAATGGATTCTAGAATAAGACACCACAAACGCTTTTGAGAGTTCAACGGTCTATCTATTTTATCTTCTAGATTCGTCTTTATCAGTCAGATAGTCGGTAAAGTGCCCGACATGCAGTCTACGACTGTTATTAAATTAGATTGTTAACTGGTGGAAATAATCTAATTATAATGTTTATACAGGGTGATGATAATCTAAATTGTTAATGATTTTCCATTGTCAATACCTTTTAACGATTTCGTAGTACAAGTAATTTGTAAAATTAGCTTCAGTTATTTTTCCCTTTCATTTGCTGAGACTGATGGTCATTTTCAATACCTGAGACAAAATGAGAACTTAAATCTTAACCATCAAAACTGAGCTGAACAATCAGAGAGCGACTTTAAGTAACCAGGATCTTACAGTTTGATCTCCACAGCAAAAATATCAATTTTATTAGCATTTTTGATGCAGAAACCTTGAAATAAACATTGAATAAGTGAGTTGCATTGAGTTAGCAGCTACCTCAATCTATTCGGGCACTTACGTAGCTATCACAAAATATAATACACATATTATTATTATAGCTAATACAGACAGATGTCTTGTCCCCCTGAACTCTACGAACTCATTTAACTATATCCAATCACACCCTATAACCGTATGACGTCACGGACTAAATCGCAGCGCGCCCACTGCCAACATCTTTGATTCAGTGACCAATTTGACACTAGTACCGCACCTGACTTTGGGCGGTGTACTAACCTTGCCGTTTCATTAACGGTGTTTTGATAAAGTGACACTGTGTCAAGTGTGTGACGAGTGCCCGTAAGGTGTGGTGTGTTGAAATCGAGCGGTGCGGGATAGGTTAGTACTTATTTTGCATTAGTTTAGGATTGTAGGAATAGAGGGCGCGTTAGAAAGTGTTACGTGGTATTTGGTTAGGGTTAGGGCTGAAAGGTCACGTTCGATTCCGGCGTATACATAGTCATTTACAGGTTATACAGATAGTTATTCGATAGTTGTTATTGGCTTCACTGAAAACGTTTAGTAGCAGTCTCTAGGGTATTTTTTATCGTACCTACTTGTTACTCAGGCTCAGGCACCAATTACTAATTTTTTGTAAAATTAATTATGTAGCAGGTATTTTCTACTTTAAAAACATTTTAACAATAAATCAACGCCAGACGTTTTCCTAGACGATCGTTACTAACTAGGTTCTTGGTAAACTTTGATTAATTTATCTTGCCTGTTTGATAAAAATGTTCTTAAGGAAAGTTTACGAAGCTAACCTTGCTAAGTACTAACATCACAACATTTAAGTCAGAGTATAATATAAGCGAAGGTTTAAATTCAAAGTATCCCATCATCATTATCGGATTTTTTCAATGCTGTTTATTTTTTTAATCTTTATGTTTATTTTTCTTACAAGACTTATACTTCGTGATCCAGGTTTGTCACGAAATTGAATCTCTGCATATTTTTTAATGAAGCATAGTGTTTTTTTTACCA